GTCCCCCCCCCCCCCAATTGTCCAGGTTGCTCGCGACGCTATCTGTGCGCTGATTTTGGGGGCTCCACCCGGGAAGGTGTACAACCAGATGCGAAATGTGGCTCGTCGAATGAGCGAACGCTTCTGACGTGTTTTCTTTGTAGTCCAAGGAACTTGCGGTGCCATTGAAAAATTTGCCTATGATCCGGTTCGGGAAGTAGAGTCTTGGACTGACGGGGCTGGAGTGTGGATGAGTGGGCCGAGGGGAGCTTAGGATGTTTCGCCGCGCCCATCCATGGTATCATCTATTCCCACCTGTTCAAAGGCTCCCCCCGCGCGGATACTGCGGTGGTGCGATAAGCTTTTGTGCCGGCCGGGTTCTTGTAAATGTAAGTGTATGCCATACGGCTGTTCTTTTTTTTTTTTCGCTGAAGATAGGGCGTCTTGATACGACTTTTGGCATGCTGTGAAGCAGAAAGGATGCCATGCCACCCACTCCGCACGCTCTGCTATCGCCTGGGGGCATGCGGCGTTGCTAACGCGGACGGTTTTGGCCCTCCCTCTTTAGAGCGGGTATATGGTGCCGGGCCGATCCACCTTCCCGTTATCGCGGGCGCCCGCCGTTTTCACTAGCGTAACACACCTTGGATTTCTCTCGGCGAAAAGGGAATTCACCCGCCCAGTACCGGCCACCCGCCGTATGTGTACCGCTTCTTCAGTCGTGTGCGGATGGCTTCGGCTCTAACGGGTTACTCTCAGAAAGATTTATCCCGGAGTGTGGACGAGGAGACTTCAAACCTACATATTAGCACACCTGCTCTCCCCTTCGACTGAGCCTGATTCGCCCTGCAATTGTCGCCGTTGGCGCCCAAGGAATTTATGGTTGCTGGTATCACAGCTCACCAAGCCTCAAATGTTCCTTCAGCGCCCGCTTTCTGGTATGGGTGGCAAGGATCAACTGCCGTTGCGGCGGTGCGATATTTTCCTGCTGTGAGGTCACGGCGCTCATCTCTGTACGATTTCCATGCTCCCTCTCGGTAACAACGAGGTTCTCTTCTGTGACGATGATGCTGTTGCCATGAACCATAAGCGTGTGAACCACCCCACGAAACAAGGGAACGCCGTGGGCAAGCACTCCGCTGGATCGGGCGTGTGCGTCGCCGACCTATGTATGTTGGCAAGGCTGGTCAGAAAATCTGGAAATGAATGGCTCGATTGTTGGGAAAAAACAACGCAGCGGAAGAGTGCACCGTGGCTACCATCGTCTACCGGGGGCTCATCGTTGCCCCTGCAGCAACCAGTTGAGCGGAACTCAAGACCAGCGTGTGGATAGGTCACGCACTGCCCCCCATCGCAAACACACGAACATGAGATTCCCCAAGCATGCGCGCGACAAATCGTCCCAACCAACCTTGGATCAGCAGCTACTCCTATCGAGTTCGCCTGCTGTTCTGTTTGCTTCCGCCACCAAATCCGACAGGCTTAGTTGTGCTCCTCCCGTCATACAACGGAGCGACGCGCGGATGGTGGTTTGGAATGGCATGTTCTTGTATTATTGACGCTCGCCGCATGGCAACAAGGGAACCCTTGATACGACTTTCCCCATATCCTACACGAGAAGAGAGCAGGAGTACTCACCAATGCTTGGCGAATCTCAACGCGAAGAGTGAACAAATTGGACAGAGAAAACAACCTCAATTTCGTACGACTCGAAAAAGGTACACCACCTACACCTACCACCCCACGGCAATGATGGGCTCGCCAGAAGGTCACGGTGTCGTTCCTTCTTACCGAGCCCCTCGTCGGAAATTGACACCAAAACGTTTTTTTCTGGCAAGCGACAGAAGCAACAGCCAGCGCCGGGCTGCCAATGACCATCAACCCGCCCTTCTCCGCACGGTTCAATGTTGCGCAAAACGAACGCGAGGCTTCTAACCTATACGGCTGTCCAATGTCTCAAAGGAAGCTATCGCCCCCACCCCGGACGATGCCGCCTCCTGCAACTCTCGAAGTGACGCTTCCAGGGCCACGATTGCGTCGGCTACCACCGCCTTCTCTTCGAGTCGGACCTTCGCGGCCGCAACCCTCCTCCGGAGGGACTTGATGGCAGCGGCACCAGAAGCGGAACATCGAGAGGCGGCGGCGGCGGTGATGGCAGCACCCGCTCCCCCTTCCTCACGGTCCTCTTCCTTTCCCCTTTCCTGTCCCTCCTCTTCGCCTCCGGCCAACTCCCTTCCTCCCTCGTGTGATTGTCGCCGCTGCTGCCTGCGCTCGAGCTCACCTTCGAGCGCAGCGATATCTTGCTTTTCCTTCTCCCAACCTGACGGGCTTCTCTCATCGGCGGTGCCCCCTAGAGTGATTAGCTTTCGCCGAAGTCCGGCTAGCAGGGCCCCCAAGCTAGCCGCCTCATTCCTAGGAGTCACCATCTTCCCTTCCAACGCCTGCTAACACGCCGATTGGGGGGGTGGGGGGGGTGAGCCATATCGGCGAGCACGTGTTACAGGTTTCAAGATCGAGAAGGGTTCGAACCTCTATAACGGAGTCTCGCGCCTCTTACAGGGAGGGGTAAAGAAGGAGGGGTTGGGCATACTACCAAAAGCTGCAAATGTGGGGAATCGGGAGGCGGGAGGTGGAAGTTTACAAAGCCAATGCATGCCACCAGACAGAACGCTACCCATCATACCATACCACACGTTGCTCGGGGGGACCTAACCCGGTCCTGAACGCGCCTCTTGCTACGAACGGTGTTCCAGCTCACCCCGTATCTTGGAGAAAACGGGGCGGGCTTCAGAATGCGGCCGGGGCTTATCCTTCCCTGTCATCGCATCACACTAGTGTAAATAGACGTTGTACTAGGGGTGCTCACTTTCTCAGCCACCGGCCTTTCGTCGGCGGTGAGTTGCGCCACGCGCACGGTGGCAAGTAACGCCGGCGAGATCCATCCTGCATCGTGCAACCATAGGATGGGGGTGGAAGAGAGGCTAGATGTTGCTTGCTTGGCGAACCAAGATGGGCGGCACGGTAATACGAAAGACGTTTCCTATCCATGTGCCTACCACACGACATAACAATGAGAAAGATCCGCCGCAGTCGATGAAGTCCTACCACGACACCCGTCGGGGGTAAACACAATGCCCGTAGGTTGAGGGGCAAGGGGTCCACGTTCCGAGGGACCCACTTGTCCGCCCAACCAAAACGTGTCCGAGCACGCCTACCTCCCGCTCGCACGGTTCCCGAAAAGTCATACGCCTGCGCCGCCGTGAGCGCGTGCTCGTCCAACAAAGCCTGCTTCCACGGGAAACCCGGGTCTGTCGGCGGCACCCTCACCCAGTAGTCCAAGGCGCCGTAAGGATTGCTCGCCAACACGAAGCCGTAGCTGAATCGAGGGGGCCCGGAGGGACCAGAAGAGGGGGGGGAGGGGAGAGTTGGAAGAATAGATGTTGCCGCGGGTTGTGGGGGGGACGGAGAAGACACCAACGCCTCGGATCTTACTCCGTGAACATCTCGCACAAGTAGCGCCACTGAGCAAAGAGTGGTCGTGAACAAGGATATTGGAGCCGCCTCTCGCGGGGTACATTAGGAACGTGTCTCCCCCGCAAGGTGGCACCGTCATCGTTCTATCCACAAGCGCAAAGCAAGATCGATTCCCGTCCGCCTTGAGTGTTCGTGCCTGTAGAGCAGTTTCGCGTTCGAGTAGCGGCCGTAGAGGATGAAAAACTGCTCTCGAGCGGCGTAGTCTCTGCCTGCGGAGACGCGAAGCGTCCCTCCGGCCCCTCCCCGGTCCCCGGTGCCGATGGAAAGGCCGCCTTCTTGCGCCTGGAACTCAATAATCTCCGACAGAGAGCCCGCGGCCTGGGTTCGGAGAACGAGCGCAAGCGGAGCTGAACCGCGGAGCAGGCTTTCGGTGGTATCATGAGCTTGCACGCGCACTCAGAGATCGGCATCGGCAGCTTGCATACAGCACACAAATGCTTGAAAAAAAACTTGCTTTGTTTCTCACCGAAGGATCGTGGTTGGCCGCATTGATTACTGGCACCATCGCCCTACGGCTGCAAGAAGAACCATCCGACCCTGGCTCTTGATAGTCGAAAGAGCGGCTCCATATCGAGGACATAGCCCACAAGTAGTCCTGCACCAGACACGTCCAAATAAAAGCAGGGGACCGGTGACAGGCTTAATCAGGTCGGGGTGGTTTTAGCTGTGGTTGTGATTTTGGATGCGTGGGCGTGAAACATCGCCGGAACCAAGTTTTCTGGTTCGTTTGGGACAGATGTGTTTTCAGCACGTGGTTGCTAGGTGATCTAGATTTGTCTAGATGATAATTGCCGTGATGGGAATTGCCGCCGTCCTTCACGGGGCTGATTCGGTTCTTCTCGACAGGTAAGAGCACCACAGGCGACAACCCGGGCTTTCAAACGGCTCGCCTAGTAGCATTAATAGCGGTGGTCATATTTACGGCGGCGGCTGCCTTGATTGATCTCGATGTCTTCGTCATTGCGAGAACGAACGTCAGATATTGTTGGCTTGTTCTGGGTTTGGTTGCCTGTTGCTATTGATTGCATCACCTCGAAAGTTACCCCGCCGAGGATCTCCGGATGTGCTTCCACCAACGGCAGGTGCAATTCTTCCCAGTCCTTCCGTACCTGGTAACAAAGCGGTCGACAACAACCGAACAAGGCTAGTAGCGGCATTCTAAAATAAACAGAACATTACTCGAGCCAGGCAAGTGAAAGCACAACACCTAGACTCATACAGAAAACATGAAGAAAAACTGGGCGGAAAGCCTTCTGAAGATGTTTCTCCACCTGAGAGTGCATCATTCTCGACAACAGCCCGACCATGGTGCCTTCCAGCAATCGGAACTCCTCCTCCGCCCGTTCCACCAGCCACCGTAGAGGCGTGTCCACGTCGTCTGGGAGGGTTCTGCGCAAGCACAAGGGCCTGGAAGTGAGCATGGTCTTGTTTCCTTTGACAATGGATAAGCGAATGTATCACACGACATATACACTACGACGCACCTGTTGCCGCGCAAGCACACCACACTTCAGTAGTGATGTTTTATGAGCCCCAACGTACACGAGGGGTTTTGCTCTCTTTTGGCACCTACTACGACGATTACTGAAAATATGATGGCGGCTGCTACCGTCGAATGTCAAGGAGTATAGCCCTGCGTATGTGCGTCAATGGGGACGCCGGTATCGCTCGCATTTGTTGCTCCTCGTTACAATTTATCTTTGACGATGCGTGTCTTCCAAGTTGGCTCGACAGATGCGGATGTCAGAACTTTCATTATTTTCCAACGCCACGGCATTCATGCTCCCCCGAGCAAAAACAAAGTCATGCCAAGCTGCTCGCATGGTACTCTCGTGATTGCAGCAAGAATCCAACAAGCAAAATAGAGGGCTGTCAACGGTGCCTGAGGGCTTACTGTATGGAGGAGAACCGGGATGGGGGGTCTCCCGTGCGACTGGTTTTGGCCTACAGAACAACGGCGAAATGTCTCAGGTGAATTAGAGCTCGTAGTCGTGTTTTGAGTGGATGCTTCTGGGGTGATTCCCACAGCAGTACACAGGTCGGTAACGTCTGCCCTATCCTGCCTTTAGAACTGCACTTGTTGGCGGCAATAGATTTCCCATCAGACTCACCGCGGGCAAGTGAGAGAGGATCGGCAAAAAAGTGGGAGAGGTATGGCGTCGGTGGAGCGGTAGGTGTGATGAAGAAGCCACCAGAAGGAAATATCGGACCGATTGCTCCTTCAGTCCATCAACTATTTAGCCTCGAAGACACATGCAAGCAGGCAGCGCATAGTGGCTGCGTGGAACCATCGTTTTCAGCATCGGTTCAACGCTCAAAGTGGTCCGACACGGAGGACAAAGTGACAGCCTCACGACAGGCCGGGGGGCGGCGCAGCTTGCGCTCACCGTAGGTACAGTTTCCAGAAGGACCCGTCGCCCTTTCTTCTCTCGGCCATGAGGTGCAGGGCCAGGACCTGCAGTCAACAAGTATTGAAGACACACAACGGTGTGGATTCAGGAAGCACGACAAGGGAAAGCTACGGATACTCTAGCGACGGAGAGGATAAACAACGGCAAAGACGCACCAGACACTCACTCTGCTCTGCGAATCAGGCCACCTCACGAAAACACCAGAGCGTATCAGCAACAACAGCGGGAACGAAACCCTTTTCACCTCATCAGGAGTTTCCACTAAACCCGGGTTTGCATCCAGCACTACTCCAAGCTCCGATGCCGCGGCCTGAGATGCGCGTGTTCGCCCCGGGAGTGGTGGGAACAATCGTGATGGCAATACAAGCAGTAATATAGCTGGTGCACACACCCGAAGACATCTCATAAAGCTTGCAGCCAAAACAGATTTGCATCACGTCATGCTATAAAACGCACGATATCCCTTTTTGTGGCTCAGAGAGACTATAAGCAACATCTATAGATGGGTATTGTTCACGCAAGAAGTTCACGGCAGTATATACCACCGTTACTGGATCGCGGAATCACCTACCGATGATGCTCTTGCCTCCTGGTGAACGACACAGCATCACCCATCGATCCGTTGTGCTTCGAGACTTGGTGCACGAAACGGGCACAACAGCAGCAAACACAAGCAATAACAGAATACTTGACCACCCCAGGTGGAAAAGCGTATCCTACTGGTGGACGTCTCACCGAGTCTACCGTCATGCACAACGAAATTGGGATGGACATGACAACCTCCCCCTTGCTCAGGGCCTCCCCAGTCAAAAAGCTGAGGCTCATTTCCCCCCCGAGGTCTTGCAGGCACAGCTTGGTCATGGATCCACCGTGCTCAACAAACCAGGACAGCAGCCCATCCAGCCCCACAGCAGTAGCGTCGCGGGCTCTATCTCCCTCGTCATCCCCTTTCGCGGTTACCATCGGGCGTAGGCGTGTGGGTGGGTGAGGAGCTGGTCACACGATGAGGAGTGGGGATAACACTTGCGGCCTGTGTCATGCGGCGTAACCACTGGCCCATGTGACGATTCGGGGGGTTCTACTGAGAAGTGAGGTTCTCAAGTTACACCGTTTCAGTGTACCGTTTCGTTGTACTACATCGCATGTACATCAGCACGGCACACGGTGGCACGGCACCCGGCGGTACCTGTACGGTACATGGCACACACTGCTGTACGCTTGCATGCAGTGTGTCATGTACATCTCTCGTGTATTGTTGCGTTGTTGCTCTGCCAAGGAAACCCGGAAAGACAGAGATGCCGAAACAGCAGTGAAGAATATACGGATACGGGCCCGGAGACAAGAAACGTCAAGATCGGGTCGAGGCGTCGAGGCGTCGAGGCGTCGAGGCGTCGAGGCTCAGTTTCTTTTGGTATATTGGATTAAGCATGGAAATAGAGCCTGCGCCAGTCCTCTAAGAGACACTATTGCACAAAGCAAATACTCTACATATGTAGACAACAGCGCATCGCGTACCGTGGTCTGGATAGCTGTGCTTATCAGACCGTGATGGCCAGGTGCCGCGTTGGCTGGCTACCTACAAATATTACCCTGGTGGCAGTTACCGAACAAAAAGAAGTGGTGGCCAGTTACCGTCCAGCGGCAGCCAGTTACCGCGCACAAAAATCCAAGGGTTTACTCGATATTCTTCCGGCGTGAAGAAACCGCCGCCGAAAAATTACCGCCAAGTTTCTGTTTAATCTAGTCTACCCCCTCCGCCAAAACCGTTGCCGCAAAAAAACGCATTACCGTCTACCGCCAAACCAATTACTGCCAAATGGCATTACCGGCGGAATCGTTTCCGCCTGAAAAACCGTTACCGAGTAAAATCTTGCAAAAATAACCGTGGCGGCCAGTTGCCGTTTATTAAAACACCGTGCGTGGTGGCCAGCTTCCGTCCAGCTGGCCAGATACCATACAAAAACTACCGTGGTGGCCAGATCACACCCAAAAGTTCAAAGTTCCCTTTAGTACAGTACCAGTATGCTTAGTACAGTGTCGAAACCCGTACTAATGCCCCAGACAGTACAGTATGGGAGGGCTGAGTACTGTACTCAGCCCAGTATCGTATGGAGTACTGTACTAAACGTACTGACTGTTGTTTTGAGTACAGTATTGAAAGCTGTACTAAAGGTACTATTGCGCTCAGTACAGTACCGAAAGCCGTACTAAACCCCCAGTACTGAAAAGTATGGAGACCTGTACGAACTGTACTATTTCGCTAGGTACAGTATGGAGAGCCGTACTAAACCCCCAGTACAGTACAGCATGGAGACATGCACTAAACGTACTGCTTCGCTTAGTACAGTATGGAGAGCCGCACTAAATGTACTATTTCGCTCAGTACAGTATAGAGAGCCGTACTGAACCCCCAGTACAGTACAGAATGGAGACCTGTACCAAACGTACTGCTGTTGTGAGTACAGTATGAAAAGCTTTATACTGCGCTTATTAGTACAGTATGGAGAGCCGTACTAAACGTACACTTGCGCCTCGTAAGATGAATATGCATATGCGTGAAGCACCTGCAACAGCACTCTCAGTTGAACATAAACATAAACATAAACATAGTGCACGCTGCTTGGACCAACCCCCCCGATGCTCCCTCGCCCCGTCCCTCCGTCTTAGCAATCATTGCTACTCACTACCTTCAACAACACCGAAGGCAACAAAAAAGTGCGGAAGTCAAAGTCGAAAGTCAAAGTCAAGTCAAGTAAACAACCCAACTTTCAAACGTACTAGAGTAAGAGCACGAACCCCTAAATCCTCAATCCTCGTCCTCAACTGATCGTACAAACTCCAGATCAGACTACCAAGCAACTACCCATCTACCCATCCTCGCCAACGCCAATGACATCCTCTTGGGGGGGCGTGGTGTTTGACAGCGGGTCGAGCGCCATCTCTGCTTTGGGGAGATCGTCATTATTTCCGCTGAGCTTTGCAGGGAGGCACCTCCATATGTCCTTCCCGTCGATGTTGGGGATGTCCTTGTACTCGGGAATAAACGAGTAGTTTCCTTTGAGGAACATCACCATTTCCAGCCAGTACTCGTCTACTCGGCTGCGGTTCCCTACACAGAAAAGACCGCAGTGGCTGAAGTCTCTCTCGACCTGAGCGGCAGAGGCTTGACTGCCGAATGTTTGCTGCGCCACATACTTGAGTGAGGGGAATGAATGTTTCCCTATGTCTTCCAGTAGTTGAGGGCTTCGCTGGGCGACAACTGGAAGGGTGTAGGATACGGAAGGGCCGCAGGATCGGGAGGATTTGTGTTGTTAGTGTTGTTCAAATTCGCAGCTTGCGACAACACATGGACAATGATACTAATAAAAATGCCAAACAGTAACACGCACACGTACAATCGTCTAGTCGTTGTTGTACTCACGTCGGTTGACTCAATGAAGACTCCCTTGTACCGCATGATCTCGCTCGAGACCTCCTCCTCCACCAAGTCCAGATTTCCTTCGCTGCTTTGGGGGGCGACTTCTTTGCGACCGAAAACTGCGAAGGCGTCCTCGCGATTCTTGCGACGAGTCGGACCCGCGGCGCTAGTGCGGGCGCGCTTCAAAGGACCTCCCCCCCCGCCCTCACTACCACCCGCGGCCCGACTCTGCGCTGTCTTCACGGCTGCGACGGCTCGCTTCTTGATTTCGGTCCAAGCTCCATCCAGCTTCTCTTTCACCTCTTCGTCCAGCGTAGGGGCCGTCACGCACGACCCGGCGGGCAAGTACTCGCACTCCTCTGCTGTAAGCTTCATCGCGGAAACGTAGTTCCCCTCACTGAACGGCGGTGTCAGGAGGCAGGGAGCATCGCATAACACCGAGGGGTCCAGGGTAGATGTGTCCCACACACGACCGTAGAACCTCGTCACGAGCGCGCGGCAGAGTTCGTTGCGCGCCTTGTGTGCCACGGGGTGCAAGTCGTCGTGTGCTACCATCTTGTGCGGCAGAGCTTTCTTCTGGTCCTTGCGGTCCGGGAGGCCGTCTTCTCCAAGAGGCGGAATGTCGAAGACCTTGAGTTCCTCGGACGGGTCCAGCACTCACATCTTCAGCATGCCAAACTTCATGTAGATGTCCGCCAGCATCGGTGCACCCCCGTACTGGCCATCACGCGTGACGGAGGAAAGCGGCTGCAGCAGCGAGTAGAGCTGAAGGATGCAGTCCTTGTTGTCGCCCTCTTCGAGTGGAAACGTTTTGCCCGTGTCGCCGTAGAGCTTCCTCAGGACGTGCCACAAGCGGATGACGCGCTCCAGTGTGCGAACCAGGGTGAGCCAACCGTTGAGAAGCTTGGTTGGGGATCTTCAAGACCTCACCCAACACGTCCACCTGAAGGTCGTCGATCTTAACCTTGAAGTTGGCAGACCTGTGGAGGGTCCCGACCAGATTGATGAGCTTCTTGAGCATGTCGCGCGCTTCCGGGTTCTTGGACTTCTGAGGGTCGACGTGGGTGACAAAGCCGTCCTCGGCGACCTTGACCATCAGGTGGCAAAAACACCAATTCCACAGAACCCCAAACTGCGGGTGGAGGCCGTTGACGCTAACAGACTTGACGTCCGATCCACTGTCCGTAGTACCCGGCGCGAGGTCCGATGGGTACAGGCCGAACTCGTGCAGGATAGCCTTGACGATCTCGAGAAGCACCTCCGAGGCCTTCGCCTCTCCCAGAGCGTCCTGGGAGGGTTCGTAGCGCTTGATCTGGGCGAACGCACGGGAACAGAAAAGGAGGTGACTGACCGGACGGTGCATTCAAGCTTTCTGTGAGGTGTTGGGGTTAGACAATATAGCCGTGGTCAGTGCTCAAGGAAAACATAAAAACAACAAATTTCACCTCCGTTGCGATCTCTCCGTGAAAAACAAAGTGCAAAGACAGAAGGCATCAATAAACAATAAGCTAACCCATACCCATAAAAAACTCCAGTAGAGACCCCTACTAAACCCATATGTAGAAAGAAGGAAGTACGCGCCACATGTGTTTCAACA